CCCCAAAACCCCAAAACCCCAAAACCCCGTTTGAGTATTATTGGCAATACATTTTATTGAATAAAGATCAATGAATAACCCATTTATTTAAAATGAAATCTAATTAACAGTTTCCCACTTTAGTCTCATCGGATATTATGAGTGACCGTTTGGCTTAGTCAAAGGATTTTGGAGTAAATCTTGCATCATACTCACGCAATCTACTATAGGGAATAAAAATGAGGACTCTTGCTTAGCCTTTGAGAGCGCAATTCCTTAGACAGCAATCATAATTCCAAGATTATCTCATTTTACAGAGGTTGGGCCAAGGCAGCTTTGGAACTATTTTCAAGGTCAGGTGAAAAAGTAATATACCTTTAACTAATTAAATCATGATTGAGATCTGTAGCTGATAGCAATCTATTCGTAATGAAAGAAATTGAAGTTGATGATGAGAGTACTTTGAAGAATTGCTAGCAGGAAATGAGTTTACTAAAGGCTATTTCTCATTAACATATTGTCAAATATGTTGACTCTTTTATGAAATCGTCGAAGTTTTATATCATTATGGAATACTGTGAGAAGGGTGATTTAAATGATTATATTCAGAGGCAAGGAACAAATATGGACATACCTGAGTCTAAAATATGGAGACTGATACTATAAATGTGCTTAGCCTTAGAATTCATTCACGAGAATGGAGTTATTCACTCGGATCTAAAGCCTCAAAATATTTTACTCACTGGGAGAGACTAAGATGTCAGATTAGCGGATTTTGGAATAAGTTAGATTCTCACAAAGAATTATTAGTTTTCTCATAACTATGCAGGAACATTATATTATTGCTCTCCAGAAATGTGCAAAGGGTAGCCATTCAATTAGAAAACAGATATTTGGGCACTTGGAGCAATAATATATGAGATATGCACTTGATGAAAAGCCTTTGATGGTGTAAATGATGAGAACATTAAAAATAAAATAATTAGCTTTCCACATCCACTTCTTCCTTAAGATAAATATTCCTCAGATCTTAATCACTTTTATACTCTCTGTATGACTAAAGATTAGGAATTAAGGCCTACTATGAAATAATTGTTATCACTTTAATCTGTCTAAGATTAAGCCTTAAGGTAGAATATTTACATAGGCAGCAGAGAAGTATCTAAAAGCATTGAGCCTATCAAGCTTTAGATATCAGATGATGTTAGAATCTTTGATTCTCGCAAATAGCCTAGATTTAAAAACTTTGTGAATTCTGGAGTTCAAGATTATTTAGTTGATGAATCTATTGATGAATCTCAGATGAATCGTAGCGGAAGAAGGTAATCTAAGAAAATGAATGAAAGTAGAGTGATGATTGAAAATCAAAAGTAGGAGCGTAGATAAATAATGATTTCAAATGTTGAGCAGTAATACTTTACTAAACAATAGAGTAATTAGGAATTTTACAAAGATATCTTAAAGAAGAAGAAAAATGTAAGGAATGAAATGGACAAATCTCCTCTTAGATAAAATACAATAAATAGCCATTAAAATTCTTTGGTTCAACTTCTAAATTACTAGTATCTTGCATCTAGCGAATCTTTGAACAGAGAAGATAGGCTCAGGTAGACAATCAATAAAAATGCTTAGAAATTTCCCGATCATCAAACTTAACCCTTAGCTTAGGATCTTTTTGTTAACAAATACAATAAAGATAAGTCCTGACAATTTTAAAGTATGGTTAGAAATGGAATTCCAAAGTAATAAGTTAGTGGAAGCGGAAGTGGTATTAGCAATCACTCAACTAGATTAAGTTCTCAAGTAGCCATGAAATCTTATGATTAGGAATAACAAAATTTTATGAAATAGCTTAATTCTAAGAGTACTGAAAGAGATAAAAGTGATAAATACCTAAAAATTCCCAAGATTCATCGAGCAAGTGTTGATTCTGAATCACAGCCAGTACTAAAAAATTAGTTTCGATAAAGCAGCTCCAGATAATCTAAAATTACTAATTCAGAGATTTAATCCCCAAGTAATACTAGACACTAAGGGATTATAAGAATAATGAGCAGACAAAGATTAAATCAATAGTAATAGTGATAGTCAAGTTAAATATAGTTTAATGCTTATATGCTGAAAAAATTATGAATTTATTTTAGTTGATATATTAACTGTACTTAAAGCATTAGGATGGGGTTTTGGGGTTTTGGGGTTTTGGGGTTTTGGGGTTTTGGGG